TGGATCTACAAGAATGACCTGTCTACAGGACCAGAAAGAGTTTCTCCCAAATGAGGTAGGACTTGAGGTATAATGGCAAAACCAGAATTCCTTCAAAGGTTACCTTCTCTGCCTTGCCCATGGGCTCATGTTTACTAACATGGCTGTCATACTTGTTTTCAATTTTCTAATATTTACCAGATTTTGATGTCACAAGTGGAAACTAATGACAGTTTCCTTGTTGTATTGGCAGGAAAAACTGCTGATAACAACTATTCCTGTATGTTGTAGAAAAAAGTTGCTGAATTTTAAGCTTGGGTATGAAATAAAGAAAGATCACTTTTGTCTTGCCATGAGCATGGGATAAAGGAAAATTTCTATGTCTTTGTGATGAATGGTACCTCAGACCTTCAGATACAGAGCTTTAATGTACTGCCACTATGCTGCAGTTACTCTATGATGAAGGTGAGACGGCTTAGTGCAGCATAATAGAGCATCATGGCTCAGAATTCGAAGGATTGGGGAACAATTCATTAAAGGGACTCAGAATATTTTCTTTTTCCAATGTCAGTGACTGACACCATGGAAACATCTTTCTTTATTTCTGTACATCTGAACTACACAAAGAACTTTAACCCTTCCTCATCTTTTGAAAACTGAACAAATGAAAGTACACACACTACAATTCCATGACACAAGGTAGAGGAGATTTTGATCACCTTACTTAAAAAACATCACTGGAAATTGTTTGATGTGTCATTTAATTTGTTTAACTCGACTTCCTCTATAATTTTACTCTCACTTATCCTTAAACATTTTCTCATAATATTTGTAAAGGTATTTCCTGATAACTTCATGAGACGTGAAGTACAAGCCTTTGTTGTCAATTGTACTTTTGAGGATGAAGGATGCAATTGGAAAGGAGAAGTCAGACACCTAGAGGTATAGTAAATGTTTAATTGGATTAATTGTTATGCACCTGAACCTACATTCCAAAAATTTCAACAGAACATCATGGGGAAAGAAGTTTTGGTCCTAGGAAACAGTATTTGAATCATGCCATCAAAATACTATGACTTAATACAACAGTTCCAGTGACAAGACCCTGAAATGATACACTACTGTAGACAGTGTACATTCTGGGACTATGCCATAAAACTCATACTCTGTTTACAGACCATGCTTTGACTGCAATGTTAGAAATGTTAGCTTCAGTGATCATTTTGAATTTAGAGGGAGAAAGTAACACTTTCACCTTAACTCATTTTAAAAAAGAAGAAATGCACAGCAACCATTATCACACTGATATGAACTAATCTACAATCATTAATAATGCTCTAACAATCAGTGAAGAAAAAGAACTACTTATTGAGGGCAAGATCTGCTATGAGTTCGAGGCATTCTTCCTGCTTGGAGTGTTGTATTAAGCTTTTCCAAGGGATACTATTTCAAGGTGATGAATGTCAAGAAGCTCATATAAGAGGTAAAAAACCTTTGATTGAGGGTTGGTCGTACTGGGCAGTCATTTTGATCATTTTGAATCCAGAGAGTGTGGCTGAAGAACACTGAGAAGTTATTTTTGGTCACAGAAATCTGGTAAAACAGGGTTTAAAAGTTGTGCTGAAAGACTTATTGCACTATGGTCCTTCCTTATTGTATAACCTGCTTGTGAAAAACTGCATATATTGTGTTCGTGTTTTCTAATGCAGCCAATTTGAAGGCCTCCTGCTTGAAGGAGAGACTGTATTAGTAAGCTAATCAATATTGTCTCCAAAACAGAACCACTTGAGTAACTGTGAGTTCCTTAAAATTCCCTGTGTACATCCTGAGTGTGGAGCACAAGTGAAAAAATCAGATCTTACCCAACACTTGGAAAAGGAATGTAAGTGCAGACTGGAAACCTGTGGATTCTGCAAGAAGCAAATCAAACTTAATAAGATGAAGGTATGTTTCAAAAACTAAGTATTTTGAAATTCTTGAGCTAATGTGAATTTGTATGTAACCCTGACCCTTTTCCCATTGCCAGCACTCACTTTGACATTAGAATTTCTAGTTTCAGTGGTATTATCCTCTTAGTTTGTGGAACCATTTGCAAAACATCCATTCAATTAAACTCATCTTTTGTGTTAAAAATATCTTTGGCTAATGCAGAAAAAGCATTAATATTTTGATTGCTTAGACTGCTGAGACAGTTAAGAATTGCACAAAGTTTGTTTTTTGTCAGTTGCATCTACTGTACATAGTAAACTGACAAATGTTTTGTAGTTGATGTTCATTATACTTAACCTGGCATTCCTCAAGGCTTCAAAATTTAAAGTATAGTTAGCTATGAGGGATGTGACCAGAGGTTATGTGTATGTTTTGTATAACACTGTATGTGCCAAAGTAACTCCACCTTTCAAACTGTGTGGTTTTACAGCATCACCATGAGACAGATTGCCCAGCATATCCAGTTGTTTGTCAAAAATGCAACAAAGATGGAATTCCCAGAGCAAAGGTAAACTATAAAGATATGATTTGATTCAAATGTTTCTCTTGTTTTGAATTTTTCAATCAGACCATGCTTTATTGATGGTTTTGGGTTGGAAACAAAGGAATATGAAACACTACATGTTACAGGGAAAACTGGTTTGAAAAATTTGAATTGAAACACTTCATATAAATTTTGGAGCCAGTATTGAAATCTTCCAATGAAAGTTGGTCAGTAGAGTGCATAGTACAATTTGGAATGTTGTTGGTATGTGCCATTGTGTGTATGGTCTGGTCACAGAAACATGTCGCCATTTTAGTAATTCTAAAGCACCTGATTTTGCTTTCAAGTCGTTTAGTTGCATGTATAAAATTGGACATAAATGTTATGGCAATACAAGCCAGTGTCTAATAGCTTTTGATGGTTGGAATTGGAGACAAGCTTGAAATTGAATAATTTAAAACAATTCTCCCTGAATGTAAATTCCAGGTAAAGTTGTCTGGGTATGATACCCAACTAGGGTTGTTGTGTTGTGTTCTAGCGAAAGATTTTGTGTTGTGTTGTGTTCTAGTGCCACCCCACGCCAAAGAGAATACATCGATAAAGTGACCCTGTGAAACTTCATTTTAATGGTGTATCCTCGAGATATCACAGCTTTCGTCGTGTAAAGTTGGTATCTTTTCTCTCTTTAAAGCATAACATTGTATCCTATCGTTTTGTACGTCAGCTTTTACAACATCAAGATCCAATAATGGGAGACTGTGATAGTGTACAGGGACCGTGCCCATTTTCACAGATTGGCTGCTCTGCGACTGAGGTACTTATTGACAGCCTTTTACTAAAATTATGTTAATATGGTATAGTTCCTCAATTAACCAATGCAGTCAGAATTCGATGAAAGGGGGAATACAGATACGTGTATTCGCGTCGAAGCACGTCATGTCTAGGAAACTCAATTAAGTCCCAGCCACACTGTTTTGATCGTGTTTCACTTCGGGGTCCCGTCCAGGTCCAGCGTGTGTTGAAAGGAGGCATCCGGTTCGATTTTAGTATCGCAGTACATACAACTATCAGTGGAACCTGCGTTAAGCTGTCACCCACTGGGAATGGCGGGTGCCCGCTGAATACAGGTGGACCGCCTATACGGTTTTATGCTATGATTGACCACTTCATGTACAAAAACTTGCTCAAAAATTTCGGGAGATGAAGATGGATAAGATATACTTTAAAGCTTATTCTTAGTTTTATTTGAGCGGCTCCCCCTTAAGTGACCTTTCAGTGGTGATGGGAAGAAGACAATAGGAAAAGGCCGTTGGCACTCAGTACAGTGTTACTACGACCACTTAATAGAAGTGACCACCTAAAAGAGGTGGAAATTACAGTGGGAAAGAATTTCGGGACTTTGACAACCGACCACTTAATACAGGGTAACCGGGTAATACGGTGCCGCTTAATACAAGTTGGACTGTACCTCTAAACAGTTTTGATATTTGCTGCATATCGTATCGCAAGCATAAGGGAACCGCAAGGGAAGTTAAGGAAACAGGCAACGCCGAGAAGCTGGGAACTCTTTTAATCTTAAAGTAAACCAAAGATACAGATGTATGCTTTCGTTCGGTCCGTAAAAGATCGATTTGATAGCAAAGAGACTTGGATAAGTTTGTGGGACTCTTCTTTTGTGTGGGTTTGATTAATCATGTGACTGCTGATGTACATGTACCAATTCCTAAATCGTATTGGCCTGTTGAGTGTACATTGAAATCTTTCTTAATGGCGCACTTCTCTTCCACAGGCCCTCACCCAAAAGCAGAGGAAAGAGCACCTGGAGAAACATAATACATTCCACACTACTCTGCTTTTACATTATGCTATACGAATGAGCAAAGAGATGGAAGCACTTTTAGTGGGTGACCCCAGAATTGTGTCTAGAAACCCACACATCCTCTCAAATTACGACAGTGTAATTGCAGATCTTCTCGCTCAAGTTCAAACTCAGGCGGGTGAAACGAGGAATTTACGCGAAAAATGCCGAGAGCACAGTGAGAGAATTACCGCCTTGGAGAGGAAAGTGGCTTCAGGAAATCTGTCGGGTTCCGCTACAACTGCCCAAATACCTGGCGAGTCGAACGGTGGTACACAAAACCCAGAAGTTACACGAAGGATTACCAACATTGAAAACCGAACCGCTGACCACGAAGTTCTTCTGGTAGAGAACAATCGCACAATGGAGGAAGTTAGACGTGACGTGGGTAATATGAAAAGGCAACTTGACACCACCCAGGAGAGTACCAGAAGGCACGACAGAAGGATTGAATCTATAGAGCACACACTGGCACTCAGGAACGTAACCCTGGCTGATTTGGAGGAGTATGTAAAACAGCAAGAGTTCTCAAGCTACGATGGCCAGCTGTTGTGGAAGATTCCTGATTATGCTCGCAAACGAAATGACGCAGTGACAGGCCAGCAAGTCTCTTTCTATAGCCCTTGTTTCTACACCAGTCGCTATGGCTACAAAATGTGCGCCCGCATTTACCTGAACGGGGACGGAATGGGAAAAGGAACGCACATCTCGATCTTCTTTGTGGTCATGCGCGGTCAGTATGACGCGCTGCTCCGTTGGCCATTCAGACAGAAAGTCACCTTCATGTTGCTGGACCAGGATAACGTGGAACACGTGATTGACGCCTTCAGACCCGATCCGAACAGCTCATCTTTCCAGAGGCCAAGAAGAGAAACAAACATCGCCAGTGGGTGTCCAATGTTCTGCTCGCTTGCTGAGCTGAATAATCACGCATATGTCAGGGATGACGCCATGTTCCTGAAAATAATTGTGGATATTTCTGATCTGTGAAGGGGAACTTTGAGTTGCGGTTTGTCATTTGTTTTGAAATTACCTTCTTCTTTAATTTAACATTACCATTGCTCTGACATGGCTTGTACATGCTGCATAAGTGATACATGGCAGTTGTTATCGTTTGTTTTGTACCTGAAATGACGAGAATTTTCTTCGTTTGGCAGGACAGTTTTAATTTTGATTTGATGTTCTGATCTCAATGTGATGTAAAGGGAAGTCTGTTTCTCTTTATTACAATTATGGCAGTTGAAGCTATCAGCTTGCTCTCCGTCAAGTCGTCTTAATGTTATACCTTTACCCTCACCCACGATCGATTACGGTGTAAGTTCGATGTTCGGCATGAAGCGTTATGCAGAGCTATAGTAAATAGTATTGTTTTGTCTCCAACTAAATTATATGTCATATGATTTTTTCTGGATTTGATAATTTATGATGATATTGCTATGCGATCGATGTAGGTGCAATGTTTTTCTAAAACGGGTAATTCGGTAGCTGTTTGCTTTAGCGAATGAGATATAGTGGTAAGAAGTAAAGTGACTTTAGCTAAAGTTGACGATTTAATTATTTTTCCTACGTTTGGCTGATTTTGATTTTTGCAGTTTTGCGGTTAAGATTGGTTAAAACCATAACAAGTTTTGCGTAACTCCTATTTAGTGCTCAGCATCTACACACTAGTGAGTTTGTAGTACACGTGACGTAATGCTTAGTTAGTAACCTTACGCTTAGAGAGTAACAGTTTTGGTTTATGTTGTGTGAGTTGCGTTATGCGCCCACTGAGGCACAATCCGTTTCCGATGGCGATGAAGAATGATCAGTTTTGAATCAACGAAAATAAAATGAGTGTTTAGCTTCGGTAAACCAAATTTTGATTATGAAGAAACGGAAGCATACAGTGTAGGCAATGTTCTCTTTTGTTTTAATGTTGTGGAATACCTTTTCTGCGATGCGTCGAGAATTCAGACTTCAGCTGGACTGCGGCGTCATCGAGAGGATCTCTTCAATATTTTTTTAAAGAAAGTTTTACCATTCTTGGAAGTTGGTTTTGAAGCGTGTAAGGAGTGTGAAGTCACGTCTGCATGCGTCTCCGTTAACGATTATAGTGCATTCGATTCTCCCTTAAGACTATCTAAAACTTCAGCTTTGCTACGAGAGCTGACTATTATGGCGGTCTCAGTCACGAGGAAAATTTTCGTTATTTTTCGAAAATGGTTGCTTGAGATGGTCAATCAGAGAATTTGCAATGTCTTTTTTGGTGTCTTTTGTGCTGACCTCCTCGCGGTGGACACTGGAAACGCTTTTTGTTTGTTAAGTGGGGGTCTCTTTGTGATTTCTTTTTTCGCTCAAAGCAAAAACAATTAAAGACCTGGGAAGAACTGCCAGTGATAAATTGTCTGCTGGATCACAGACGTAAGTTCGTTAAACTAAGGGAAAAACTATGGAAAGTCATTCACTAACCCCACTCTCCTTATGTGTTGTGGGAAATCATTGTAAGATTTAGCTACAGGGAAGATCTCTTCGACTTGAAGATTTTTTTTCTTTCGTGATCGAAGCATTTGAGACAAAAAACAGTTTGTTTTCAGTTTTGTTTTTGTGAGTGAATCGAGTTCAAGGGACCGAGTCAAGGTGTCATCTGGAATAAAGCGGCTAACAGCGCACATTTCGGGGGCAGTGTATGCGTGGGTTGTCGAGGGTTTCCACCTATTCGAACGTGAAGTTATAACATTCCACAACATAAAACCGAATGGGGTCACCTTCTCTTAGAGCGTATCTTTGTCTTTTTTATTTCTCGAAGGGACCAGTTACTATCTATGCACGCAAGTAGACTCAAATAATGTCGCGAAAATACCCGAACTGATAGATTTGTCTACTCAGAGCAGTTAAAAATTGAATCCAGTTATTGCAAAGATTAATGTAACACACCAAGTGAAACTAGCTAATTGTACTAGAAATTACTTCACTTTAGTTATACGCTATCGCTTGATTTTTCTTCCACAGTTAAACTATATTTTGTTACTTTACTGTTTTATTTAAACATGGTGTAAACTTTCTTGCAGAGAGGGCCAATAAAATATGAAAATGTAATATTTGATGAACCTTTCATCCCGGGGTTCTCACCTCTAAATGGTGAAGGGGTAATCCTGTAATAATAGATTGTAAGACACGATCCTTACTTTTTGTTTGTAAGATTACTTTGATTCAATATCATTAGTCGATTAACTCCAGGATGGGTTGAAAAAAAAAGCTTCTTTCTGGCGATCATCGTTCTTCCAACATAACCTCGTAGGATTTTAATAGCTTGCAGAACAGTGGCTCGCTCTTATTTATTGCCGGCAGAACAGAACAACTGAATATGCGTATGGAACATTAAATTGGTTTGTTCACTCAACGGAGTGCGAGAGGGAGGTTTGGGTCCAGTCGAAAATAAATTTTACCTCAGTCAACAGTAATGTCGCAATCTGATTGGCGAATTTGGCGGCTGCTGACCATTGTGATGACAATATCGTTGTCGATAAGAGCACAGAGAACGCTAAACCACTGTCGATGTATTGAAGGGCACTAAGTTTGGGATTTACGCGACCCAACACAAACCTCTTTCCATTTCTCAATCCGCTGCTGCTCCATTTTACCAACTAAACGCCGGCAAAAGGCTAGCAGAACATCCGTATTTTAATTCGCGTCATGCGCGAGAGGAAGAAGCTTGCCATCAATGCGTGCAGGAAGCTTGCCTCGGTTTTGAGGAGAAACCCTAAGAATTACAACCGCTGCTCTGTAAGCTGAAAAATTTGTATATATTTTGAGTTGATGTAAACAGTCAGTTAAATTATCCATCGGAATGGCTGAATCTGACATAATACTGCTGGCGCAAGCCATTCTCCTTTCTACTCCAATCGTTTCCAGTGACGTTAAATGTTAATAGTATGTGATGACAGTTTCTTTTCTTCCCATCGGTCGGGAGCCCTTTACAATTAATACCTCCAAATATCTGCTAGTGAACTACAGTATACTGTTGCTTAATACTTTATAACCGTGCATTGCTGATCTGCTCATGCGTTGTTGTGTCCACATGCGTCCCTTATTAAAAAATGCCAGATTGTTTCTGAAAGAAGTCTTTTAAATTTCCCATAAATAATTATGATAGACTACCATGGTGATTGTGTGATGGAACAATCACTGAACTCGGTGATACCAAATTTTGCTACTGGTCAATTATCTGTCGCAAGTCCTGTTTAATTTGGCAAATTATTGATCTGTTCGACCCTCCCGCAACTGTATTCACGATGCTCAACCTAGTCATATTCATCGAAGTTTATTGCAACGAGAAAGGACTTTAGATTTTCCAATCGAACATATTTCCTCGGGACAAAAAAAAAAAAAATTTAAAATTCTCACTCGTTTTGTTGTAGGCCTCCTCTCCCCGCCCTTCGTAAGTTGAGTGGATGCTTTTTACTGTAAATGCATATCACATCCTACTAAGACATTCTAGAAATTATCAAATTTAGGCAACCCGATGTTTTTTCGGAATTTATAATCGTTGTTTTTTAATTTTGGATCGTCAGCACATGTTCCATTTTGTCTTAAAAGCTTCAGAACACGCAGATTTGAATTTTTTTCCCTTTGAAAGTCTCTTAGGGGAATCCCCTAATTATCTATTCGCCGCAAGGGACTACGGGAAACAAGAACCGCTGCATCATAATATTCAAAGATAACAAAATTTTGTAGAGGTTTATACTGTAATTCACATCTAACCAGGTACGTAATTTCTTTTATGAAGCTTGATTTCCCAACTATGCCTTTTGAAACCATTCTTTAAGGGTATTAAGTGTTCATCCTCAACTCTTGATCGAAAACGAAACTGTATCTAATGCAATTTTTTTTTTTGTGTGCTCTCAAAGACGAGAAATAAGTACTGTCGTTATTTTTTATTGACAAGTCTTTTATTAGAGACAGAAACATGCGTCGATTTTAGCGTCCGTAATGACATTTTCAGACCCCAGCACCACTGAGAGTTTCTAAAAGAAAGTGAGAAACAAAACAAAACAAAAACGAAAGCTGATTTTTGTGGCGATACATAACGACGGGGACAAAAGGCGTGGCGGCCATTTTGGCTTTGCATAGTGTGCTTTTGGTTTTCAAATCTAAACAGGATCATATACTTGATACTTCAGCTTTCCTTAACCATTATAAATGTATTTTTTATTTCAAGAGATTCTATTACCTCCTGGAGTCTTTCTGTTCGTTAGTTAGGTACTTGAAAACGTTGTCGTTGTTTCAGGGAAGGCGAAATAAATGATGCTTATCTAAGCATTTCTTTGTATCCAAAATGGCGTTGCGTCCTTTATAGTTACAGTTCAGTGCTTTGATCATTCGTGACCTAATCTGAAGTTTGTGTTTCCATGTATATATGCAGTTGATATTGATGTGAAATCGGTTCTGTGCTTGATAAGCCGTCAGTTTTGTAATTGTTTAACGAGATAAACATCGAGGAGAAATCTTACCAGCAATTAGCGGGTTGTAGATTAGAAGGCCATGACAACAGAATGGACTTGCGAAAACCCTAAAAACGATGATGTAAATCACTTGAATTATATTTCTTAGTTATACATTACTTTCAAAAGTTTTATTCTTTGATCGATGTGACAGTTTCTTGGTATGATTAAACTTACTTAAGTAATACTGCTTAAACTGGAAAGTACCAGTATGTATATTGATAAGTAAGTTTAGTTTTATCTTGTAATAAAAGGTACTTTATGGATATTTTATGCACCAGGAATCGATAAAGAACTAAATCTCGCTAGGAAAATAAAATAACGAAGTGATTCGATATTTTTGTACAACATGAGGATCTTGCAATTTAGTAAGATCCTGCTAGAATCTTAATCTTTCAGTTCATGTAATTGCAAACCTTTGAGCAATTAGTTATCTCCAGGCGATCATATTTATTTTTACCGTATCTGGCGTTATTAATGTGAAAGAAAGAGTACAAATTTATTGAATCAATATTTGCAACCTTGATGTTTTTGGTAATATTAAATGACTTTGTTTAAACACTCTTGACCATCCTCCAGTTATTGTACTGAAAGTTGATAGTGTGTAATATGTTTTGATATTAGATGAAGGTTTTAAGTCTTAGTTAACCCTAGAATTTGTCTTGTGCTTGTGATACTATCATTTTAGTTACAGCTGGTCTTTCTGCTCTGGTTACTTCTCTGTGATAATTTTACCAAAGCCTCAAAATTCACACGCAATCAAGTTGCTCCAAATAATTTTACTGAAGGTGAATAAGTGTAATAGCAACTTTGAGCAAACGTCCCTTCCCTTTTTATTTCAGGTTAACAGACAGAGTTATTTAATATTAAAAGATGTCTGGATACAGAATTCCATTTTCTGCAAATATTGATGATAAGTTTAATTGTAAATCATGTGGTCATTTATTGAGAGATGCTGTACAAACACTTTGTGGCCACCTTTATTGTGAAAACTGCTTGCTGAAGATGTTAGAACATGAATGGTAAGTGTGTATTTATCAACATAAGCCAAATAAATTTCAAAAGCTTGGTTAGTGTCATAAGATTTTCTTCAAAACAGTTATGTAATACTTAAAATGAAATTATGGGCAGGGATCACACCAAATACATACCTCTGCATTGCTGTTTTGCAACAAGTAATGAATGTTTAATTAAACCTTATATGTGGCTATGATTTTGAAGACATTACTACTGCTTTCAGGAATTTAATTAATCCACAATGCAGAATGACATCATCACTTTTTAACTGAACCAAATTCTAAAAGTGCATCAAACCTTAAGTAACTTGATCACACGACTTGCTTTTAGGTGTCAAAGTAATATATATGTTATTTATTGTGTGATACATTAATAAAATGCAAACATTAATTTTTGTGAATAATGAATACTGTATTACTGTTAATAATTAATAATTTTTTAAAAATTAATTTGTCAACTTAAAGTTGTTAAAGAAAGAATAAAAGTAATGAAGTTCACACAGTGCAAAGGAAGTTACTTTCTAGAGGGTCTCTCGGGTACCCCAATCTGGCCATGCAACAAACTCAGTGTCCCAGGCCCTGAATTTAAACTACTATTGGTATCCATTGGCTTTGCAGTTTATATTTTTCTTTATTCCAATTAGTGCTCAAACCATTTGCAACTGTGTATATATAAACATAATTTTGATTTAAGTTGTTGTTGTTAGTTGATTATATGTTCTAACAGATTTACTCCTGGCCTTTTCTTTAGGGTGTTAAAGGAAGTCAAATGTTTAGACCAGAATTGTAGCAGTCAAATTGGAAATGGAGGGGTAAATGTTTTGTAATTCTTTTTTACTTAAGCATTATTTTAAACTTATATATTAATGCATTTTTCCTAGTTAATAAGAGTACATACAATTTCATCTTCAGTTAGGAAAAATAACTATCATACAAATGTTGATGGACATCTAAATTCATTATCAAGTGACTTAAGAGATATGGAATTTTATTTTTAATGGATTGAATGAAATGAGACAATAGGTAAAATTTTAAGATACGAGTTTTAGGCAGGCATGTTGTGGAAATGATGATGTGCATAATCACTATAGCCTTTAGTGGGAAGAAGCATTTCTGATTACCAGTTCTGATATTTGAAATATAATGAAATAAACAAACTCCCTTAAAATTAAGTGTACAAGTAAGAGGGAGAATTCTGTGTAATAAAATTTGTGGACTGCATTATAAATTTAATTATATGCATGGGATTTTAGGTCCTCCTAAGATATCTATTGAAATTTTGTAGTCATATTTGTAAAAGTTTAAAAAATTTGTGTGCTGTAAGACTTGTGATTTGTAAGAATTATTTGGTGGTCAAGTTGAACTGGTCTCTGCAACAAAGTGAAGGAGTTAGTAGTTGGTCTGTCATGGCAAAAGTCCTAAAATATCTCAGGCAAGGTTTATCTCAAGAAATTAAAATATCATGTATCCTTGAACAAGTACCTGTGCTCTAATTGGTACCCTCCCCCAAATAAGTGCAAAATTCCCCTTGGCCATACTACCAAACAAATTTCCCTCTTCAATAAGTACCCCACTCCTCCCTCAATTCTTTTAAGTAGCAGGGATACAAGGAAAACCTGTTTCTAATTAATTGCCACTTTTTTTACAACTTTTTGAGCTTCAACCATAGTGGAGTCAATTTCCACTGCAGTTATTTTTTTCTCCATGTGCATGCAGAATTCCTCAATAAGCATTATCTTTTCTTTATTTTTTGTCAAATTGCTGTGCTAACTTAACAAGCACCCCTTTGATTAAGCACCTTCTTCCTATACAATGGCCTGAGTTTTCTTGCTCACTATAAGTTGCAGAGATTATTAATAGTGATTGAAACTTAAGTTCCAGATCTGTTCCCCTCAATTTTTTCATGCTCTTTTATTTTCCTCATCTGATTTCAAAATGCATTTTTACATTTATTGATGTGTAACCAATGTGCCTTAGTGACGTTAAAAAAAAATGACTTCCAGTTTGTTGTAAAAACAATTTTTGGTCACACATTTATTTCTAACCATGTTAAATTAAATGATACATACTAATTCATGTAATGATCCTCATCTTAAGTAACTCAGGTGGAAATAGATGTATTTCTGACAGGATTCTTATGGGTTCAGTATGGTTAACAGTCCTTTACTAATTAAAGAAATCAAAGTCGGATCAAAGGAACAAAATATGTATGTATGTTGGTAATGTAATTACATATTAAGAGGTAACATAGGAACTAACATACATTGTGTGTATCTACAGAAGTGAGTTCATAATGTTGATAATGTAACCTAAATTAAAAAATTGTCCTCACAGGGATCACAATGAATACATAATTTCTTGTATTCCAAAATGTCTGCATACTTAAATTACAAGTGCCATCTCATTCTTTTAAGGGAGATTATGTTTGCTTGTGCAACTTCATTTGTTAATGTACTACTTGGTTGGTTCAGCTGGAAAATTGAGAATATTATGCAAGTTCACATTTTTTTTTTTCTATGGACAGTATTTTCCTGACAATCACACGAGAAGAGAAATACTGCAAATGACTACACCATGCTTGAATAAAGATACTGGATGTGATTGGTTTGGTGAAGTCAGATCTGCGGAAGTAAGAGTAAAAAGATTACTTTTAATACCTTGTAGCTGTAAATGATAATTATAAATCAAGTTGCTTGATATGTTCCCTGGTTGCACGTGTTTGACTTTTCTATTTCTTGAAGTCAAATAACATTATGGTTTAAAATGTAATAATTAATCACCAAATTTGCATGTCTTGGGGGCCTATTAAAGAAAAGAAGGATAAATGAAAGTTTGATGGAAGATCTGAAGGAAAGGTGGGTGGGACTCATTGTATAATGGTATTTACATCTATAACACATCAAATTGTGTTTATTTATTAAACATTTCACAGATAATGTATTTTCTTATAGTACACGCAGTTTGTTATCTTAAAGACATCACTTTTAGCCCCATGCTGGTTCTGGAAGTACCCTTGCGAAATGGCTTTTGGAATTGCTAGGAATTCCTAGGATTTTCCTATTTTCCAGTAAATTCGGACTGGGAATTCCTAGGAATTCCTAGGAATTCCCAACCATAACAACTCTGGTTCTGAAAACCTAGAATTTCCTAGAAATTCCCAGAAATTCCCAGAAATTCCAAGTTTATAGCCAACAGGACTTGGAATTCCTAGGAATTCCTAGGAATTCCAACTCAGAGAACCAATGACTTTCCCTGAAAAGCTGTAAATCTAAAAAATTCCTTGGAATTTCTGGGAATTTCTGGGAATTTTTAGGAATGTTTAAGAATTATTGGGAATTTTAAGCAAAAATTTGAGGCTAATGATATAAAATAAATACTTTAAATTAAAAAAACCCAGCTAAAATTCAAGTATTCAATGAAATTTATTTAGAAGCTTAATTAAGGCTTACATGTAAAATATTTTTTATTCATTATTAACATCAATGTGTGGTAATATTAGGATGGAATTTGATTTTTCTTTTCTTGAAAACTTCATATGGATTAATCCTCAATTACAGCTATTCATATAAAATAGTTCTAATCAATCATTAAATTTGGTTTGACACAAATTGTGAATAAAATCTGTTGATTCTTTTCCATAAAATACAATATCTTAAATTATATTTGAAAACCAAGCACTCTTAGGAGTGAAGGGGTTAATTACAGACAAATAAAATTTATCGTTTTATTAAAATCTTGTAGTAACTGTAACAATAAATTAGAATGAAGTTATCCTAAACTGCAAACTTAGCTGCTGCTTGTATTTTTTTTCTGGGCTCACAATGAGTTGGCCTTGAAACAGGTTGTCTACAAGAAGCTTGACCATTTTGTATCTGGGTTCCATGACATCTGAATTTGAAAAAAAATAAGATATTTAAATATATATATTTAAAGCTCAGACCAGGCCTTTAAGATGGCTATGAGGAAAAGGGCATTCATTGGATTCTCAAATTGAAAAATCTCTGTTATATTGAGTGACTTTTATATTGGAGTTAGTACATCTCTCTCATAGATTTTACTAAGTGACCGATTCGATTCTCAGAATTATTCTAGTTTCAATTGCGCCGAGCGTTATGTAAGCTTAATTCAACCCGCTACATCTATTCTTTATAAGATTTTGATTACGCAACGAATATCGCAATTTTTTACTCACCACAAACTTTCAAAATCGTAGCTTTACAGATGGCCACTCGACCCTTGTTTGTACTAGTCAAGATGTCAACTGTTGTCCCTTCTTTTAACTCCACGGCGCCAACGACTTTCTTTTCTTTTACAACACTCACGCTGTTCTCGTTTTCCCATTGAACCACAATAAAAGCTATCTTTAGAAATGTTATATTAAGCAAAACAGTTGAGAAAAACGATCAACCGATGAAAAGTACATTCAAAGATGAGCGCCAAATGGAGTCTTCTTTGTTTCTGATCACGGGCATGATCACGTGGATCTTTTAGGGACTTGTCATTGGCTAGCAAAGTGAATCCGCTGGCTTGCCGATTGCAGTGTTAAGAGAAGCGCACAACTTTATTTTGACTTCTCCGACCGGTTCTCTGTTTCTAGACGATGGATACCTTGGTGATATAAATAATGATGTGGGTTCACTCTATGTAGAAGTAATCGACAAGTATCGATCGTATTACAAATGCACGATTTGTGGCCGAACGTTGTTGAGGAAAAAAAGACTCGAAACTCACTTGAGTTGTGTTCATGGCAAAGGTGAGAA